CTACAGCCGACCGGCTGACCAAAACCTGTCGGAGTTGGACCAGTTGGGTCACCACGCTCTTTGGGTCGTGCGAGAGAAGTCAAAAAACTGTGGTTGCTCTTCAGGACTACAATAGGCAGCGAATCAAGGCTCAGCTCTGTCGTTGGCTTCAAACTTGAGCCACCGCACCTGACCCCGAGTTCCGAGCATTCACCATCGAATCTCCCTGTGATTATTTTTTTCTCCACATATTTTACTGTGAATTTTGTTTTTTCAATTTGTTTGTTATTAGTTTTTTGGTGATTTTAGTTATTTTTGTGATTTTTTTAAGTATTCTGGCGACGGTGGTGCCACCGGCAAAGGCAGATGCTACCTGGTATCAAGACAAGATACCGATATTACGGTTGAATACCAATAGGTTTTTTATAGTTTTTTATATATTTTTGGTTTTTGTTTTTTATTTTTATTATGATTTTAGTGGATATTGTAGTTTATTTGTATTTTCTGGTATTATGGCGACATTAATCGTCGAACTGCGATTAATCATGGAAATTACTGGTAAGGATACTGTTGATAACCGGCTAGGATACTGACGATTACTGAGCAGTATTACCGTTGGCTACCAATGATATTACGCTTGGATACTGTCAGTCCTCGGCCGACAACCAGTAACCGCTGACGATGGTATCACGGTGGTTACCGATTGATAACCGCTGACCAACAATGGATATCGGCTGATATATTGAGGATATGTTTGGTATTCCAAATATAGGTAAGGTTTGTTTCAAGGGATCTGTCTGATTTAGGATTATGATACTTGGTTCTGCTACAGTGTTTTTCTCTCATAAAAAAATTGAATTTCAAAACTCAGAATCATGAACCATGATTTTGAACCCATAAACCAAATGTCACCCTAGTATGCTCACGTGGCTGTGGTATTTTTTGCATTTAGTTTTTGTTTAGTTTTTTTTTTTTTTATGGTACAAGTCAATCCAAGTTTTGTTTTCGTGGCATGCTTGTAAAAAGCCCACTTTTGTTGTTAATCTTTAGCGTTTTAGTTTGTCAATTACAAAAACGTTATGTGCACCAAAAAAGAAAGGATTAATTATAAAAATTCTCTATGAACTATACTCCTTGTGACACTTTACCTCATGATCTTTAAAACGTAACATTCGTTCTCCCTAAACAATGAAATCTTAAGGGGAAAAAAACCCCTATCTTAGGTTTTTAATGGAAATTGACATTTAATTTGTTATTTTAAGAGTATTTTAGTAACTCTATAATTTAAAATTTAATTTAAATTTAAAACTAGTTTATATTTAAACTTTTAATTATGAAACATCTATTATTAATTGAATGTAAGTTTGAAGTTTTATGAATCTTTTTTCTTTCTGGTAGAATCTAAATATTGATGAAGGTTATTTTTTGAATTTTTTACATTAAAAATAAGCAAATGAAAAATAAGAAACTTTCTTCAAAAAATGACAATAATTGTGAGGTGGGGGATTATTTAGAACTTATCTATCTATATCATAACTTTTTTTCTCCAATAAACAATAAATATGACAATCAAATTCATGCCTTATTACAACCGGCACGTGTTTACTAGTATTTATGTGCTATTTATATCTTAAAATCCCTTATCAATCTTTTTCTTTTTTCTTTTTTAAATTTAAACAATTTAATTTTATTCGTGGCATATAACGACAGTTTTTATCTATCGTTAAAAATAACATTAGACGATGATTTTTTTTAGTAAACCGTCATCTAATCTCATCAAAAATAGAGTTGGCGCATATTTTAGACGATGATTTTTTATAAAACCAGCATCTAATGTTGAGATTTAACAACGATTTTATGAAAAAACTGTCGTTATATGTTCTTCTCCAAAAAAAAATGCGTCTTGTTTTTTTGTTGTCCCATAGGTTGGCCTATTAATCCTGTGTGTTATCAACCTTTTCGCTACAATTCACATAACCATTATAACCACAAAACAAAATATTAAATTTCTAAATAAAAATGAATTATAAATATTAAATTTCTAAATAAAAATGAATTATAAATATTAAATTTCTAAATAAAAATGAATTATAAATATTAAATTTCTAAATAAAAATGAATTATAAATATTAAATAATACATCTATAAATGTAGTTTATGATTAATATTACAACAACATATTAATTAAGTGTTCATATAAATTACAACAACATATATAGTTTATCATTTTTTCTCTTTCTATTATTTTCAACACATGTCCATTCAACATTTAAACAGGCAAGGTTTGAATCATTATCATCAAAAACATCAACCTCGTCAACGGGTGCCAAGCCTCTACTCACAGATGAAATATTGCTGCAATCATCATCATCCCCTTCTCCATTACGAATAGCTCTTAGTTTCATGGGAACAACTAAGGACAATTCTAAATCATTGGGATCGGTTGTATAGAAAACTTATTTTGCTTGCTTTGCTAAAATGAAAGGATCATTCTTGTAGCTCATTCTTCGAAAGGCAATCACTGTAGCGCCGTCACTATCAACCTTCACATAATTATTGTTGGCCACTTACACATAAAAAGTGCCACTCGCAATCCGCAATAGTCAAGTTCTTATCTCCAGAAAACCATAGCAGGTCATTGTTCCATCTACGAGATTCTTGTCTTTTGCAGACGAAATATGCATAGCATCGGCACATTGACTAACACCACTATTTTGGACTCAACATCCATATATTACTCAAAATTATAAAACCTAACCAAATTTAATCATCTACGTACATACCAAATTCAAGACACACATTAAAACCCAACACCCATAGTACTCCATATCTCAAAACCTAAACTAATTTCATCATCAACATCAACAAATTTTATCACACAACAAACACACAACATCTATAATACTCAAAACCATAAAACCTAAACAAATTTCATCATCTACCAAACAAATTCAAGACAAACAATAAAAACCCAACATTCATATTACTCAAGACTACAAAACCTAAACAAATTTCTGCCAAACAAATTCAAAACAAACAACAAAAACCTAACATCTGTAAAATTCAAAACCACAAAATCTAAACAAGTTTCATTATCTACCTAACAACTTCAAGACAAACGATAAAAACTCAACATCCATAATACTCAAAACCATAAAACTTAAACTAATTTCATCATCAACCTAACAAAATTTAACCAAAAAAAAAAAAACAAACTCAACATCCATATTACTCAAATTTATATAAAAATGAGAAGATTAATGAAATTTACTTGAGCTTTTTCGCGGATTTGTGGACAAGACGGCGGCAGTCGGCGGTGAACGGCAGTGAACTGAAGGAAGAATGACACTATTTAGGCTGGCGGTGCAATATGGGCCGAGGGATTGGCAGAATGGGCGTTTTGATTTTTGAGTGAATTTTCGCAAAATGAAAGTTCAACAGTGGTTCAAAACAAATTTAGACGACGGTTTCCGTAGAAACTGTCTTTATATATGGGAACATTTAGATGACGGTTTCTATAAAAACCATCGTCTAAACCTACTAGCTTAGAAGCCGCATTTTTAAGTGCACTTTAGATGACGGTTTCTCTATAAACTGTTGTCTTATAAGAGTCGTTAAATGTCAAGTCTTTTGTAGTGAAAATATTTTAATTAACATGACTTTTTAATTTTCATGATATGATATTTTAATTGACATGACATTTTAAGCGATGTTTTATTCTAGGTTTATTTTCATAAATACTCTCTAAACTATGTACTTTATTTGAAAATACCTATGATTTTTTAAAATAGTTCAAAACACTCCATCTACAATAAATTATTCAAGACGTCCCTTCCGTCTAAATCCGTTTATAAGGCTAACATGTGACATTCATTAAAAAATAAATCAAAACCACTTAATTCTAATTAATATATAAAAATGATTAAATACTAAAAAAATGAATAAACAAAAACGTAAAGATAAAAATAAAACTATTACCACCCTCATGGCCTTAATCGTAATCCCCATCGATTCCACACACACACACACACACAAAAAAAAAAGGAAAAGAGAAAAACAACCAACTCCTTCTTCAGCCACCAACAATGGATCAGCTTGTTTTATTATTCCTTTACGCAATTCCTCATCTTCAAATTATTCTTCTTCTTGTTGCGGTGGAGTCTCGTAGCAACGAATCTGCTTCGTAGCTATTTCTTGCGGCGTCCCTCTCCGCCCGCAGTGCTGCTTTGCACGAGCCTCGTCACGACCCACGAATTCCATGGCGAGAGACAGAGCAAACCCAGCCTCACAATCATGTCGCCCACTTGCGAACCCAGCCAAGCCGCCTTGAGAGTCCAATGCTCTCTTCACGAATAGCCACCTCCGAGCCCGCCCCCTCACGAACCCAACACATAATGTTTCATGGGATTAGTTCATCAATTTCATCAGAGTAGTTTTTGGGTGCAATATACCATAATCCTTGATCTGCTCATGTAAACCGTGCATAAAAAATACCTCCGATCAAAGTCTACCCTTTGAACTTCTAATTGAATTTTTCTCCCTTGGGCTATGGATATAGTCGTTGTCAGTTTCCATTTGAAGTTTCATTGAGTTGTATTGTGCCTTTTTGTTTTCGGTATTTAATTTGAAATCAAAATAGGAAATTGCAAATCGGCAAATGAGTTTGGATCATCCTACGGGAGAAATTTGGGGTAAGGATTAGGGTCTTCATAGAGGGAGAAATTGTTAGGAGGGGAGGAGTGTTGGGAATTTTTTTTATTTATTTTTAAAAAAAATAACACTTTTCAGATAAAGTTTTAAGGTTTTTTAATTAAAGTTATTTATTATTTTTTAATATTTAATTTATTTTTATATATTTTAATGAATGGCACATCAGCATTTTCGTTAGTCTTATACACGAATTGAAGGAAATGAGTGTTTTGAACAATTTGTTATAGATTTTTGAACTATTTTAAAAAATTATGGAACATTTTAAAATAAAATAGTGGGTATTTATGAAAATAATCATTCATTCTATTATTGTTTGTTGGAGAAAAAGAATATGCGTAACTCGATACATAATATCTTTGTTACAAGCCTACAAGTAGTAATGTACAAAACTATTTCTCTGAGTCCCTTTTAACTTTGTAGATCTTCTTTCTCTGTTCTGTCGAAAGCCCACATATTAATATCTTCCCTAATATCATATCCTATTTAACGTTTACGGCAAAGGTCGCCTTTAGTATTTCTTCGTCAATGACTAAATGGACAACATACAATATATAAAATTCCAACTTTTGGACTAACCGAATAACGACAACTTTGTGCCCCCACGTTGGAAAATACAGTGTCCCAATCCAATGTATGATTTATCAAAAATCAGATTGAATTGTGTTAATCTCCTAATCATAGAGCCTCCAAATTAGAGAGATATTGTCAATCAAAATTCTCTGGTGACTGGCCGCCAGCCTTGATGAAAATGTCATACCAAAAGTCCACGTCATGCCCAATAGTATTGCTCGTATCATAATCATAAACCAACTCCGCTGAATTAATACTGCTTGGAAATTTTGATGGATTATATGTTGTGTTGGAAATTTCTACTGAGAGAGCTTCTGACCAGAAACTCTCATCAATTTCGGCGAAACTAGTATTTCCCAAAAATTTATATTCCTCCTTCTTTTCATCCTTGATGATGACGATGTCACTGTTGTTGTTGGTTGTCTCCTCGGTTTCTGTGACCGACGAAAAATCACTGGAAGATGGCTGTGGAGATAACAATGATGGTGTGGGTTCCAATTGGTCTGTGACGTTGGAAGAACTGGTTCTACTACTGCATGTGGGGTGTCGTTTCACAGAGAAATCTTTCTTGGTCACGGATTTGTGATTCTTGTTAGTTACATGGCCCTTTTTGTTGAGCCTTTTCTTCAAGTGGGTGTGCCACACGTTCTTTATTTCATTGTCAGTTCTTCCCGGTAATCTTGCTGCGATTGCTGACCATCTGAAAATAAGGGAAATGTATACGATTAAATTATTTATTTGGCTTTTCAGGAAAAAAAATAAATATATATATATATATATATATATACATAATTAATCTGGAAGAAATCGAGGATTCATTTGGCTACGCAACATGCAAATTAAATATTGCAAATTTTGATATGATTTTTAGGCACGAAATCTAAGAAATATAAACTACTATTATGGGGCGTCGTTCTTGCATGGCTGTGTGTGATTTATCTATATTTAATATGTATTGTATTCAGTTCCAATATAGAGAATCTTTCAACTGATCATCAACTTGACGTACGTTGTTCTTTTATTGACTAGTCGCCAAAACGTGCGTTTTGTCATGTGTCATAAATTGTCAATGACAGAGGATAAAAAATTAGAAAGGAAGGAATATCCTATTTTTAAAACTCAAATGGCTCTTATTTCCCAACTAAATAATTAATATTAGTGCAAAAGAGAGAAAGAGGAGTGAGCACATCTTTTTGACTTGAAGAAAAAAAAAAAAAAAAAATTTTTTTTTTTTTTCACTTTACCCTGTTAGTTTTAATTATTGGATTATTTATTCAATGCTCGGACACATGAACAAGAATAATTTTGTGTCGCACACCATAAATTTTTAATGTAGACATTTATTAATTAGATTGTTACAAAATTAATCTAACAATTAAAATAACAGTTCTGACTAATAAAATGAAATAGCAATTACTATTGTTGATTATTCTCTTATTAAGGTTAAGATCATAGATAAAAATTGAAAAATTAAACAGAAAAAGAAAAAAACAGACCAATTAGACACCAGATTCATGAAATTAATTAATTCTATGGTGGGCTGCTAATTAATTTCGTTATGTATGCACTTAACTTAGTATAAAATATTATCATATTATTATTAATTTTGATATTCTAGCATTGATTATGAGAAAATACGATTTTAATGATGATATACTAATATTACACATACCTATTGCCGAGCATTTCATGTAAATTAATGATGGTTTCCTCTTCTTCTATGGTGAAGTTCCCTCTCTTGATATCTGGACGCAAATAGTTAATCCATCGCAACCTGCAACTCTTCCCACATCTCAAGAGTCCTAAAAATTCAGCACAAAAATTCCAAATATAAGAAGAAAAAAAAAAAGCCATATTTGCTTTTAGTTAATGAAAATGGAAGGAAACTGATATCAGAGAAACATAAAAATACCATAATTTGTGCATGAAGAATTTTTAATCAAAACCTTTTACATATAGTTAGTGATCATAGTACTACCTAGTTGTTCTCTGTCTGTTAAAAAGAAAAAAGAAAAAAAAAACATTCGAAAAAATTTTCAATTTCTTCTGGAAATTCTTCTTGTGAAGAGTACTATATATCGGCAATATCTTTCTAAATTGTGTGGCTAAGATTGATCCGTATAATTTGGATATAGATACATGAAGAAAGGGAGAAGAAGAGAAAAAAAAAACCCAAGATATACATATATATATATATATATATATATGATATAGTCATGAAGAAAAATTACCAGATTGCTTTGGGAGAGCACGCCAATTTCCATGGCCATATTTCTGAACAAAAGATATGAGAATTTGGTCTTCTTCAGGCGACCAAGGCCCTTTCTTCAACCCCATCTTCTCACAGCAAGGAGCTCTCACCATCTTAATTAATACTAGTCTTAATTTGCTAATTATCCCTTAATGTATAATTATACCTTAATTTGCTAATTATACGTTAAGGTAAAACTTATAAGAATAAGCACACTCTTTTTAAGCTCTCTCAATTTTCCAATATTTTCTTTTGGGAGTTATGAACTCAAACTTTTGAGAGGCCTAAGTTTGGCTATTTATCCTCTGTAATAAGCTTTGATAGGCTATATAGGTAGCCAATTATGGGGATTCTTGAATGGTCAAACGAGAAGAGAAAAATCTACGTTCAAAAGGAATACGCAGCTAGAGAGTGCAGTTTCCGGGAAGGGCATAATAATATGTTTAATAAAATAATTATTTATTCATGGATTGATGAGTAAAAAATTCTCAGAAAATGTCACATTTAATTTTTTTTATTACAGTAAAAACAAATTTTAAAAAAATATCATATCTCAACTCGAATTGAAAATTTAAATCCGCGAAGAAGTCTTTATTTCTTGATTTGTCATTTAGTACCGACCGGTAAAAACGCACGAGGCCGTGCAATTTGACAAAAACCGGTCCATATCTCGTGTGGATAATAAATAATAACCAACAGAGAGAGCAATTTGGATTCTTTTTTATTTAATCTCACTTGTCTCACAATATATACAAATCGAACTCTATGTGTTATGCAGGCAGAGAGTAATCGTATGCGTTATGCAGGTAGAGAGTAATCTGTAAATTAAATTTTAGTTATCATGTCATTATTAAAAATATAATAATTTGAATATAAAATTTCAAAAAGAAAAAAAAATTAAAAAAAAGAATAAGTAGAAAAATAGGCATAATTAATAAAAAAATTAGTAAATTATAATATATATTTTTGAAAATAAATTATAACATAATTTGATATTTTAAGTTATAAATATTACTAAAAATTTAAAAATACTCATAAACTTTTTTTTCACCTCATTCCTCCACCTAAACATTTTTTTTAAATAGTAAATTATAACATATTTTTTAAAATAAGTAGAATATAATCAAGTTCACCATGGTCGGGATGGACGGCCGGCTCCAGCGACTGGTGACAGGCTTCGGCAACTGGTGACCGTTTTTCGATAATTATTTTTCGACAACCGTTTAACACTGTATTTTCTAATAAATACTACCATTTAATATCGTATTTATTAATAAATACCATATTTACTTGAAAATTCGACCACCAACTCTGACGACCGTTTAACGCTGTATTTACAGGTAAATATCATATTTACCAATAAATACCGTATTTACTAGTAAATATCATATTTATCTAAAAATTTGGTCACCGACTTCAGTGACTGTTTATATTGTATTTACTAATAAATATCGCATTTACTAATAAATATCTTATTTGTCTGAAAATTTAGGCATCAATTTCAACAACCGTTTAACATTGTATTAATTAATAAATATCGTATTTACTAATAAATACTATATTTACTAATAAATATTATATTTACTAATAAATATCGTATTTATCAGTAAATATTCTATTTACCATATTAATCTGAAAATTTGATGACTAGCTCTAACGACTGATAAATACTGTTTTATCGATAAATATAATATTTACAAGTCAATAATGTATTTACTATATTTACTAAAAAATTTGACGATCAACTCCGGCGGTGATAAATACCTTATTTAAGAGTAAATATTATATTTATCATATTTATTTGAAAATTCGACGACCGATTTCGGCGACCGGTAACTACTATATTTATCAAATTCAAACTTATTCAGCGAAATATTTACTAATAAATACAGTATTTATTAAATTCAAATTTAGAATCAATGAAATATTTATTAATAAATACAATATTTACCGGATTTAAAATCCAAAATCAAAAAAATAAAATCGCCAAACTCAAACTCTACAGAAAACTCTAGCCAGTAACCAAATCACAAAAATCGTGAAATAAAAATCTCATATCCAGAACTCACAAACTCAGACAAATCCGAAAATCAAACTCAGATCTGATACTCAGATATAAAAAAATCAGTTATACAAAAATAATCCTAAAATCAGATGAAAATCCCAAAATCACAAACTCAGAACAATGCAATCAGAACATCAACCTGTCAAATCTCCAGTTCATCGTCTTCGATCTACAACCGACCTGCACAAAGCTCCCTCCAAGACCATAGCAGGGCTGCGAGCTACGGCGACGATCCTCATCAAAGAACGATCAAGAGATCAGAATCGTCGAGATCGAGGGCGCAGGTTCAGGAGCGATTCAGAGGAAGGAGAAGGAGGAGAGAAAGCGGCAAGATCGAAAAAATGAGGCGCCACCGGTGAGTTCCATGAGATTCACCGTCAATGCTAGCACAAGATCCGTCCACGATATCGGTGATGTAGACCAGATCCGACGATTTCTGCGAGGAGCATCGTGCTCCACAACGGCGAGAGTTTTCCAAAATCGACGTTGTTCCAAATCTCCAGTCGCCGTCGATCCAGTCCGGTCGTTGTCATAAACGATCCGCTCGAGGAGAGAGAGAGAGGCGCGGGGAGGGGAGAAAAAGTGTGACCTGTACTGAGATTCGGTTATGAGGAGAGAGAAAGAGAGAGCATATGAACAGAAGAAAGAGGGAAAGAAAGGTGGTGGCTGAGGGATCTGAGAAAGAAAAAAAAATTAAAACCCTAGGTAAATTTGGTAAAGAATACATTTTTTCAGAATTAAAAATATACATATGCTATAATTTACTAAGTTTTAAAAAATATTTTATTTAATTTAAAAGCATATATAAAATATGTTATTTAATGTATTTTTTCAAATAAAAAATGAAGTTTTAGGGTAATTAAGGAGTAAAAAAGGGATAAAAAAGGATTAAAATGAAAAAATAAATAAGTTTTAAGGTAAAAAGGACAAAAATAAAAAAAATAGAATTTCAAGGTAAAAATAAAAAAGAGTAAAAGACGACTAAAATAAAAAAATAAATAAATTTTAGGGCATTAGAGACCAAAACGAAAAAATAAATTTCAGGACAAAAGTAAAAAAAAAAAAAGGTTAGAAATTGACTAAAAATGAAGAAATAAATAAGTTTTAAAGAAAAAAATCAGAACAAAAAAAATTCCAAGATAAAAATAAAAAGTAAAAAAAGGACTAAAATGAAAAGATAAATAAATTTTAGGATAAAGAGAATCAGAACAAAAAAATAAAGTTTCAAGAAAAAAAATAAAAAAGGGTCAAAAGGGCGAAAATGAACAAATAAATAAGTTTTAAGACCAAATGAAGAAAAAATATGAAACTTAAAAACACAAAAAAGTGTAAAAAAAATGACTAAAATAAAGAAATAAATAAGTTTTAGGAAAGAAGAAACCAAAACAAAAAAAACAATAAAGTTTTCAAAAGGGGTCAAAATGAAGAAAGAAATAAGTTTGAAAGTAAAAGGAACCAAAACGAAAAATAAAAATAAAATTTCAGAATAAAAATAAAAATAGTAAAAAAGAGACTAAAATGAAGAAATAAATAAATTTTAAAATAAAAAGTAAAAATCAGAAATAGAAGGAAGGACTTGAAAAAAAAAAAAAAAAAAAAAAAAAAAAAAAAACTGAGGGGAGAAGGGTTGCATTTCGACCAAAACATTTCTGTTTTGGTCGAAATGGCAGCAAAGTCTCAGATATTGACAATTCTTACATATAGATACTAGTCTAAACACGTGCGATTCACATATTGAGTTGTGATTAAAAATTTTATAATGTAGAATTTGAATGACAATATATAAAAGAACAAAAAATAAAAGAAAAAGAATTAGAAAAAAGTTCAAATATATAGTAGTCTAAGACTCAGCTAAATGAAAAGCTGTATATGATTTAATACATAAAATGTTCTAATTAAAAAATAAGGTAACAAATTTTTTTTTTTTTTTTTAAAGTGCTGAAACTTAAAAAGAAAAGAGGAAAAAAGTAAAGCACCAAAAATTCACCATTTTGGGCTACCATAAAATGAAAGTACAGACATCAATAAAACATATATATATATATATATAAGAGTTAAAACTAAAAAAAGAAAGGAAAAAAAAAAACAGTTAAAACTCACAATTTTAAACTATCATTTAATGAACAGTGACCACATAAAAAAAAATAAAAAAAAAACGAGTTGAAACTTAGAAAGGTGACGAAAAAAATAAAGTACATAAAACCACCACTTAGACTACTTCATGAACAATAGCCACATGGACTACTTCATGTGGCCACATATCCACACTTGTATATATTTAGGATTAGGATTTATGTTTCGAATAGGATTTAGGATATTTATATAGTATGTGCAATGCTTGAGCTGTAATTGAAGTTTTTTTTAACGTAGATTATGAACAAATTATAAAAAAATATTGATTATGAATAAAAAGAATCAATACAAAAAAAGTATTTTACTTAGAGATTTAAAAAGGAAAAGAAAGGCTATTAGCATAAATAACTTATGCAAATATGCATTATTCTAGTGTGAAGTTGAGATTTAAAGTTTGAAAAATCTATGAGAGAGAGCGATGAAGTTCATATTGAGAGACGATAAAAAAGGAAAACAAACGAAAAAAGTTAGGAGAATATTGGGGGTGAGAGATACAATAGATGAAAAAAAAAAAAAAAAAAAAAAAAAAAAAAAAAAAAAAAAAAAAAACATAGTGTTGACGGTGAATTTTCGCCCACAAAAACAGACCGGTTTATCTATGGGTTTTCCGTCCGATTACCGGCTTAAATATAGGTTATATGTAAGAGTTTGATGTGTTTGTAGTATTTTTTTGTGTAGTGAGCAATATAAGAAAATATACTTAAGTAGAAAAACGCAAAAAGCTTATAGTGGTTCCCTCTTATAAAATGAAGAGCTACATCCACTGTGATTTTTTTTTATTTCTTTTGAGATTGTTACAATTTACAAATTGCTCTCCCGTTCTTTTCTCTCTAAAGATCAACCTCCTTTCCGTATGAGGTTTCTCTCCTTTTATAGCCGAGCTTCCTTTGTCGGGGGGTTTTCCTCCTATAGGCTGAAAAAGCACTCAAGGGGCCTGTCTTTCTAGGCCCAGCCCATAGCCCACTGATTAGTGCATGAAAATGCACCATAAATACTATTTTTGATTTATATAATATTAAAATATTTAAGCTTTAATTAAGCAATTTCATTATTTTTATTCATAATATTTTAATTAGAATTTGTCTAGTTTTTGCTTAATTATTTACAGATAAAAAGTAGTATAAAAAGCTACACAAAAATGAGCCATGAAAGCCATGTTTTCAGCCACCCGGAGCCAAGCCTCAGCCGAGCCACACAAGCCAATCAGAGAGAGAGAGCCGAGCAGCTTAGCCGAGCCAACATCAGTCCGCGTGGGCCCCAGCATTTCCAGCGTTTCCTCACTCTTCCTCGCGCGCGTCACCAGCATGTCCATCTTCAGCGCGCGCGTTCCCTCCACGCAGCTTCAGTGCGTGTCCAACTCCTCCGCAGTGTGGGTCCCGCGTCTGCAGCCATCAGCCGGCCTTCCTCTCCACGTGCGACAGGTGTCAAACCTTGTCCTCCACTTTGCCCGCGCCAGCACAGTCCAACCAATCCGCCCACGACACGTGGCACGTTTCCTCCTCACTTCCAATCACGTTGCGACACGTGTCCCATTGGTGCTGAATCCGAATTCCTTCCCTAAAAATCAGAGCAAATTACCAGATTTCTTCCCAAATCAAATATATGATTTCTCCTAATTTATGTGTAATTTTATTTTGTTTCCTTTTCTTTTGTAATTTTCTAGTTTTACAATTTATTTCCTTATTTGACAGACAACCTCTGAACACTATAAATAGAGGGGTTGGCCTAAGGTTTTAGAAGTTTTTAATATTCAGTTTTCTGTCGTCATGCTGTCAGTCTCATATTTTCTCTCTAGAACTTGTGAGAATGTTTTGCAAGATAGGCTAGAGTTTTCTTGGTGAGGTTAGAGATGAATTTCTGTTGAGTGACCCAATTCGGGGTTTTGATTCTTTATTCTGTAAACTCCAACATCTGAATGAATTAAATCTCATCTATTTTTCTATTACTTTTCAAAATATTGTGTGCCAATTTTTATATAAGTTCAGTCACGCTTTTCTTATGTAAGTATGTCACGCATTGTTTTGTTATTCAAATTATTTTACAAATTGTCTTTTACTGCAATATTGTCAAATTGATATATTGTC